TTTAGAGGGATTATGTTTGGCTTAGTTTTGAGATCCTAGGTTCTCTGTTACATACATACATAAGCTAAACCCTGGGTCGAATCTCTAAAAGACAAGAAAAAGGGGTTTTTCTCTCTCGTGTTTTAAAGATATATTATAAGATTATAATTATTATATTTTTTATTATAAATATATATAATTATTAACTGTTACACGTAGTATTGACACTCTCTAGTTGTTTAGAGTTAAAAGTACCTTTCTCAAACCGCTTGCTTAAACCTCTTTAAAGATGTTTAGTATAGTAATTTAAAAGTAATTATTGATAATTTTCTCCAATCTCATAAACAAAATTGTTTAAAAGTTGTCTAAACGAACAACAATTAAACAATCAGACGAGGGCATGCCAAATAGTCTAAAGAGTTGAAGAAAGGCGACTAGTACTTCACGGGAACTTGGAGCAGCATCGCACGGCCGTGGTTATGCCACACAATTATATGTTAAGATTACGTAAAATTATTAATCTTATCTTTAAATATTAACTTTGGCTTTTTTCTTTTTTGGCCGGAAAGATTAAATTTTGTTTTCCTTGATGAGAATAGTATTTATTTGTCTTATATCTTAAATATTAAAAAAAATAATTAATAGAACAATCCACTCTAATCCTGTGACATGGATCCTGAATTAAACCATTCACTTCCTATAGTTGAAGTGTTCCTCTCTTGTCAGTGAAGTGTTTCTCACATATTTCATTTCCCCTTCTCTCACTTAACATGTAACCAACTTTAATTTGGTAAAAAAAATAAAACAAGTAATATTTATTATTTAATAAATTAAAATTAATTTATAAATAAATAATTTTAAACATCTATTTTTTAAAAAATTATAATTTAATAAAAATCAATTAAATTATTTAATTTTAACATAATATTTTTTTGATATATATGATGATGTAAGTTATATAAGAAAGGATGATTTTTTTCAATTAACTCAAGATTCAAATATAAAATTTTTAATTTACAATCTCAAACTCTTAATCATTAAATTATTTAAAACAATTTTAATATAAAATTGTAT